AAGAAGGGCGCTTGTCGTAGAACGATGGTCAGCAAGTTAGACTCAATTAATTTGCTAATGTAGACTTCGATCATCGGTTTCATTATTCTAAAACAGTGCTAGACAAAGGTAAGCGAAGTAGTTACATCTAGTACCTACACTTGAATACAAACGAGAAGAAACTAATTATTGATTGGTACAGCACAGAAAGTTAGATTTGTAATTGCTCGTTTCAAGTCAGACTCATTAACGTTTTACTTTTTTTTAACAATGATATTCATCCTGCACAAGGCCCGAGGGCCACTCAAGGTAGAGGGTTACAGTACGAGGCACAGATTATGTGGATATGTGTGGGCAATAACGGTTAACCCTATACTAGGACAGGTTAAGATTGTAGCGATCGAGGAAGTATCCTGTTGGGAATCGGTTCCACAAGCCAGTGGTTTGTAGGAAGAATCTGGACGAGTGGAACATATTTTTCACCAAAGGGATACGAAGAGAAACAGGGTAGTTCGCTACAATGTGCATGGAATAGGTCTTAGTTCCACCAGTGCTAATCTTCACGGCTAAAGAGTGTAGTTCATCTGAACAATCTTCTTCATGGAAAAATTGATGTGCAGCGAGAGGATTGCGACGCAGTGAAAAAAAAATGAAGTCGTATAGACAAATGTAATCAAAGTCTGTGTAATTTTTATTTGTTTATTTGACTGAGGATGGGGGGATATTTCGATTTTTTAAAAATAATCGGATTTTCTACAAAAACACATATCCAAGAGATAATCATTGTTTCAAATTCCTATTGAAAGCTTTCCAGATCACATAAAAATTAAATATTTTTCTAAATTTTAAGAACTGAGTTTAGTTCTTAATGTAAATATTAACTAAGAATATGCTTTAGATAATATTTTTTTTAAACTTAAAATGAAAGTATTTGAAATTTTCTAAGGTAGAAAATGCTTTATTCAGTGCTATGAGCGTATTTTTTAGCTTACGCTGCAGGAAGTGAACCACCTCTTAAAATTTAGAAACTTTATGACAAAATAAAATGCTGATATTTGTGATACGCAGTGCTTATTCGATGATAATATTAAAAAAAGAATTTCTTGGAGTAGTGCGTCTCTGTAGAAATGATGAATAATCTATATAGAAATAATTTATGATATTCTATGTATCAGAACAATATAAGGCAATTGAATGACAAAGTGAAAAAAAAATATCACTGTAACGGGATTCGTCCTCTAGAAGAATTTTATCGAGGTACTTTAACAAAATAAAAAAAAGTTAAACCTAAGTTTTAAAATACATTTTTACAATTAAGTCTTTCTTGAAGCTCTTAAATTTATTCTATTAGGTTGGAATTAAAACTAATTTCCATTAGGTAAAATACTTTGTTGTATTTCAAACTGAATTTAAATTGGTTGGAATTATTTTTAAAGTTGCTAAAAAAATTTGCTATATTGTCAAACCTGTCAATATATAATTTTCTTTAATTTTTTTTGAAAAATAAAATATACTTTTCTGAAATTTTATTTGGCATTTTAACTGGTTTGGCATTTCTAAGAGCACATAACTAAAAAATTACTTGAATTACATGTAGGCCTTTTTTATTAAATTCACCTAACCGGTTCAAATGAAAAGATTAAGCTTTATAAATTATTATAGCTAAAAAAAAAAAAAAAAAAAAAAAAAAAAAAAAAAAAATCTTATTCATAAAAGAAATTAAAAGCTTTTTAATATTTTTAGTTTTATTGTATTTTTTTTTTATTTTACAATTCAGAGCAGATTTTCTGTAACTGGGGATTTGACAAAAATCATTTGATGATTTAAATTCTTCAAGGATTTTTCCTTAACTAATAAATATTTTTACCTAGATTTTCTTTAAAAAATATTCATAATTTAATCAATTTGTGAAGAAGTCCTGATATATTTTGCAAAAATCAGATAATTATCGGATTTTAATGAAACTATGTTTTCACAGAAAACAACCCCCCCGCCAAAAAAAAAAAAAAACGAAAAAAACGCTAAAATTTCCCATAATTTATAGTTATCGGCCATTGATGGAAGAAAAACAATTTTTAACCAAAATTTCGAAGGTTAAAAAAAAACAAAAAACAAAAAAAACAAACAAAAAAACAAACTTAATAAAAAGAAAGACCTTTGGTCTTTCCTATGAAATATTTTGACGATAAAACTTTGTTTTTATTAAATTTGGGACATTTTTTTTTCATTATGCTCATTTTTAGCGAATCTTTGGATGTATCGGGTTAAAATGTTTATTATTAAGAGAATTATATATGTGTAGGGAGGGGGGACATAAAAAGCGAGCGTTGATTATAAATTATAACTTGTGATTATGTACCGAGGGGAAACGCTGAAGTTGAGGAAACACTGAATTTTATAAGACACGCTTGATAAAAATTTCAAAATTAAAAATTTTAAATTCATTGTTTATGGAATTCCTAACAGTCGTTCATTAAAACAAACAGAAAAACGGAATTACCAAACTTATACCACATTTAGATTAACATTTTATGCATTCTCATCGATTTTATTTCATTTAAACCAATACACAACATTAATTTGAATTTGTTTTAGGCAGGGAAAAACAATAAGTCATTTCATTAAAAAATCAACTCTTTCTCTATTTGTCTCCTGCTTGGAAGTGTCTTCAATTTTCAATTTGTAAATACATCACTAATCAAAGTAGGAAATTATCTATCAACATTGTTGTTGTTTTTTTTTTTTTTTTTTTTTTTTACTTTATTATCGATTCTTTTTGCAACAAAAATCTGAACTACGATTTTAAAGAACAATTAAGCCATTCTTATGAAGTTAACCTAAAACCTTTCATCAACGTCTTCTGAAGGTATTTCTCTAACACATTTTTATCCATCATTTTTTTTTTTATTGAATGTGATGATTTAAAACTAAAAGGATTCATTTTTAACCAGGATTCATTCACCATTTGTTTGGTTTCAAAGAACTTGTTTGTATAAAGGAAAAAGTTTCTTTTATTGCTAAATATTTGTTTTTCTGTTTTAACTCAGAATTAAATACACGTTATAAACCATTTGTGGCGTGCAAAGAGCGCAATGTTTCTGTTGTTAATTAAAGTTATTTTCATCTTTTAAAATCAAAGCAGTACATGATAATTAGAGAACAAACCATAAAACACGTAAACAAACTAAAACAAAAAATACACAATAACATGAACCAGAAAGTTTTCATTGTTAAATAAAGGAGGAAAAAAAACAAACTAGAATTCAGCAATTTAATTCAATACTAAACTCATAGCATTGAAACGAATTGAAAAAATATCAGTGAATCACTGTTGTTACCCAAATTTAGCATTTTATAACAAAATGTATTTACAAGTGTCAGTGTTGTTAGTACAGTCCTCAGATAAGGGTTTTATGAAAAGATATGAACATTTGCAAAGCTTGGGAAAAAAATCTCCCGGCGCCTTTAGGCCACAAGGCAAGCATTTTAATGTCACCACCTTCCAGTTCCTAGAAGGATAAAATTATGAAGCAAAAAACTGTTCCATCAAATCATTCCTTATTCACAAAGTCTTCGAGCAGGCAATTAATATGGCGGAAATTTTGGGTGTATCACGATGGCAACATTCAAAGAAAATTATAGTGCTTTCATTTTACTATGTTGAAAGTTTCTTTTAAATATTGGAATCCAAATAATTATGAACATTTAATGCTTTACATGACCCTGGATTTTAAATGAAGCACAATTTTTTTGGTTGTTGTATAGAATCAATGTTATACCAAGTAATACTACTTGTAGAAAGTCTAAAATTGATGAAATGGAAATATGAATCATAGTTGAATTAGAAAAAGTTGGGAATTTTCCATGACTTACGCATTTATCAACGTAAACTTTAATGCAGTTACAGAATGTGTAATATGCATTTGAACTTAAAAAGGGGGTAAACACTTTTACTTCACGAAGCTGGATAATCTACCTAAGAAGGATGAAGTTCTCCCGGAAAAAAAATGTCGCTACCATCAACGCCTCACTACGCCCATTTAAGTAGTACTAATAATATTGTGCATAAAAAGTTTAGTCAAGTTATGGAAAATTCAGCCTTTTATTATGCTTCAATAAAGCTCGTAGCAGGCGGCCAGTCAAGAAATATTGCTAGGAAGTTTGACTTGTATTTCACTAAGTAGCACCATAAAACTCAAACTTCTGTTTTGTAGATTAGAAAAATAGACTTTACTTATTGTTAGGTTATTATTACTTTGGTGAAATTCATTCGGTTAGCTTGTCAGTATAGGAAATGAAGAAATTGGCAATTGAAAATCAAAGTTTTAAAATACATTCACTGCCGTCAAGCTTTCGACATTTTCCATTTAAATAAAAAGCTTTATGCATTTCTCACCAAAAACACGTTTTAGACTAACAAAAACGAAAAAAAAAAAAAAAAAAAAATGCGTTATTAATTTATAAAATTATTTGTTTGTTTTATAATTGGAGAAGTCAAACGTAAAATTTTGTTAGTTCAGGATGTTTGCGTTGAGTTTTACACCTGTTGAGTTACAACATTCGAGAGGGACATGCTGTTGATTGTAATTTTCTCACAAAGTGTCCTGAACGATGTAAGACAAAAAAAGAAAAAGAAATGTTCACGCTCTCTCACATCGTATATTTCAACAAAAATAACCGAACTTATACTTAAATAAATTTCACTTGTTGAATAAGCGTTCTGTTTTTTTGTTTCGCTTTTTACATTAACCTTGGTTTACATCCCCAACATCCATTTTTTTGACGTATTTTCACCCATCGGGGTGGACATCTTCGAGGTCTGCATTTACTGTTGGGAACAGGTGCCATCGTCGTTGTTGTAGAAGCAGTTGTTGGTAGCTGGGTAGTGGTGGTAATAGTGGCGGTGGTAATTGTTGAAGTGGTGGTTGGCACTGTTCTTTTAGAGGTGATGGGGCTTGATTGAAGCCGGTTCGATTTTTGTGTGACTTCTTGGCGCGAGTCAATAATTTCCACCGGCCTACCGATTTGATCTCTATCGTTTGGAAGAATTTGGTTAGTTCCAGATTTCTCGATGTTGATCGAAGCGTTGGCAGAAGCGAATCTGGAACTCCCAGAGTGTTCACAACTGTAAATAAAATAAAATAAAAATAAATAAATAAATAAATATGGGTCCTATTTTAAGATTTTAAAAATTTAAAAAATTATTTTTAGAATGTTTAGATGAAGCATATTCACGAATGATGCAGCAATAAAATGGAGTAAAACTAGTAATAATGTAAATTAAACGCTTTTTAAACGACTTTGGAATAAAAAATATTGTGTTTAGTAGATTCTTAATATAATGGAAAGATCTTTCCATTTACAAAAAAAAATCATCCTCGTATTATTACATCAACTACAATCTGATAACTTAACAACAAAAACAATAAAAGATTTTGAGACCAGGTGACAAAATAAACAGTTTCCCTACAGGAAACATTCGGCATTCATTAACCGAACAGATATTATTGCTGTCGGTTTCAATTTATAAAATCTATTTCTTAAAACAGTGTCAGCAAGTTAGATTTGTAGAATTTACCCCGTCTCATTTGTGGGGAGACTGATAGGGGTTTTATTCAGCGGTATAAAGCGACAACATGGGACTGGTCACCGGGCAAACCAATTTTTTAATTTCAACTAAACCACCGGGCACACTCACACACGTTAATCATATATTTTTCTTTTTCAACTATCTTTATACGCATTAATAAAATTTCTTTTCTTTTGTGAGCTATGTTCTGTTATGTATAGATGTATATAATAAAGTGCTCCACGTGTTGAATTAATTCACTTTGAAAGTTTTTTAGCTGCATCAATTTCAACTCTTAACTCCTCCCGCTAAAGATTTACGTCTACTGTTATCGCTTTTTCTAATATTGATGTGAGTTGCCTTACATATTCACCTATAGCAAGCCAAAGTTTAAGTTACCATTTCACTCTTCGATTAATTTGCATTGTAGCATTTATCACGTATAATTTAAATACATTAATATCGAATCATTAGTCCAATCAAATAATAGAGGCGATATTTAGAAAAATAGAAAGCAATAACTAATTTCCAATATTTAGAATTTGAAAAGACAAAATAGTGAATAAGCTAAGAGTAAAACTAATTCAGCAGATTTTAATTGAACTGGACCCCACCTTTTTTAAGCGTCTGTATAGGATTAATAAATTTCTCACCTGCAAGAGTCGTTACTGAAGTAAAGTCCATGTGTGCACTTTTTAACTTTTGGACATTGGCAGCTACAAGTCACTTTATTCCAAGTTTTTGGATCGGAACACTTGACATATTTAGTCTTCTTGCAGCGACAAGAACAATCCTGTTCGCTATACACGTGGACAGAGTCGTCACAATCTTCAGCTTTAATTCTACATTCTTCAACGCAATCTGTATGACTCTCAATTTCCAACATTTCCATTCCGATGTATTCGAACGCAGCAGCACCAGCGTAAGGAAGACGCACTCTCACAACCTAAACAAGGGAGGGAATTGAATAACAAACTGTTAATTTGGGACAAATAAGAACAAATAGATGCAACACGAGTAAAAATGTCAAATTGCTTACTAGAAATTGCATGAAAAACAAATTTTAATAAATCATAAGTTTGTTTTTTCAAAATAGTTGTTTTAATCACAGGAAAAAGGTTTAACCTGAAAATTAGACAGATATCTTGTATTTTATGATAGATTTTTTTAAAACCATATAAAACGGAATTTACTTCGACATATACAATAAACTGATTAATTTTAATTAAGAAACTGTTCATCAACATTTCTGCAACTGTAGGCATCCTTCTACGTATTTACAAAACTTACTTTACATGCTGTTGCCGTATATATACATTTTCAATACACAGTGAAATTCTGTGTCTAGCGTTTGTTATAAACTAATTAGCACTATTTCCAAACCAGCGTAGGAATATAGTAGCGTACAATACGACCTGTTTTTGCAAACGCATTTTTTCTTACTCTGTTGGAGTTTGTTTAGCTTAACTGTATCCGATCGAAACCAAAATGGCAGCACCTATGAGAAATCACTGCCAACATCTTTAAAGTCATATGTTTCCAGTAAATGTCAATTTCCTATCTTCTCAAAACTAGCCAGCACAGCTTGGCAACAATGCATCAATGAAAGGGTTAAAAGTTCAAAGAAAATTCCTATCACTTTTAAAAGCAATAAAAAAAAAAAAAAAAAATTAATTTCGGTATATTATTCACTAACTTGAAGTGGTTAGCCAAATGAAAATTTTTGATACAGTCAAAATATTTAATTAGGCTAATTCTTACCTTAAAACAATTAGCAAAACTATTGATTGAGAATACATGTTTTATTTTGGCAAAAACAAATCATTAATATTTGCAATCCTATGAGAAACACAAAAGAGCATTCTTTATACAGGGTGCGATGGGTAATTTGTCGCCATTTCATATATTTTTAAATTTTGCGCATGCGCGTTGTGTTGACATTTGCCCAAGAAGCTCCAATATGAACATTTCAAAATGTTTAAGTGTCAATCTGAGGACAGTGCAGAGGATTCGGAAAGAGTTGGATGAGTCTAATGGTGATTACGAAGGTACGGCAGCTCGGAAAACTAACTGATAAGAAAAGAACTCCCGAATTTATTGGTGAGGTCCTCAAACTATACACGGAGGCCTACATCAAGTGCCTTGAGGCAGTAGTACTGCCCTGGGTTAAAAGGGTGGCTGGTGGAAGACCCTATGTTTGGCAACAGGATTCTGCACCATGCCACGCAAACAGGAGAACCCAGTTATGGCGGCCAGACAATTTCTGCGACCACATCACCCCTTACATCTGGCCACTTAACTCTTCATACTGCAAACCCCTTGATTATTATGTGTGGAGCGTAGTTGAGCAAGAGAGCAACAAATACTTGTAATGCCAAAGATGAACTGAAGGCAAGGATTATGGCAGCATTCACAAAGTTAAACAAGGAGACCATCCAGAAGAGATGCAGAAAATTCCAAGATCGTCTGAAGGCCAAGGTTGAAACCAATGACGATTTTATTGAATAAATTTACTCTTTGGTATTTAAACATTTTTGTGTAATTTTGGTAAATATATCTTAAAATGAGATGTCAGTATTATTTTCATTTTTTCGTAATTTAGATGACAATTTATCCATCGCACCCTATATATATATATATATGGCTTAGCAAGAACAAGATTAACTTATCAAATTAGGGATTAACAAACTCTGTATAAAATACTTTTGTTACAGAAACTTAAAAATGTCAATCTGAGAGATTTTGGAAACAATTGAATGGAGTCAAACTATAACAATTTTTATCAATTGTGGTAAAAGATTATTAAATTTTTACTATTGCAACAATCTTCTTTATTGGCATAATGCGCATGATCAGTTCCGCCCTTACTTCACAGTCATTGGCCAGTTGATTGCTTAAAGGTAAGTAATAGTCGGAAAGAAGGGTATGAAATAATACAATACCAAAAGATTCTCTCAGATATCTACATTTGTGGGAGTAAAAACATCTGAATATTTCGTAGAACAAATTTCAAAAATAAAAGAAAACTTAAAGAAATGCTTTTTGAGAGCGAAATTAAAATTGTTCGCGTAACGCATAACATTTATTGGAACGATTTTCAAGTTTTAAAAGCTTTAAAGTTTCTTGAAAAATAACTAATATATGCAAGTGTTGTGAATTAATGGAAAATGGAAACTATTTTAAATAGAAGCACTTTAAAGCTTTTCATGACAAACTGTTGCATCACTTTTGCGCAAATGTCATTGAGAAAGACAGAAATCCATCTTATCTCCCCCTAGATGTGTGTAAAATAGATTGGGTTCTCTTGCCTTAAGTAGCAGCCAGCCTGAGAAGGATCACTACGAATTTAAAACCGAGAAGAAACAGTAAACAACTCCATATTTCCCCAGAGATATCGAGATTTATTGTAAATTAATATAATTATGGCACAAGTTCGAAAAGGTAAATGGGTTGAGATATCATATCAGAGATATCATAGCGATTCACTGGAATCTGTGAGAGCCATGGTTGCCAACCTTTTTTTCTATAGGATTCGTGTGTAGTTTGTGAATTTTAAATGTTTTACGTTAAAAGTGAAGATGGAGGAAAATGAGATGCATTTTCGTTATTTGATGATATTTTATAATAAAATACTGTACAAATAGCAAATATATATATATATATATATATATATATATATATATATATATATATATATATTTATAGAGATGATGCCATAGACGAGAGTACTGTTCGTAAGTGGAAATTTGAATTTTGAAAACAGAACGTCCCGACAGACCTACAGTCGTTGATGATCAAATCAAAATTCTGGTTAAGAATAATCCCGGTCATACGACACTGGACATCGTAAAAATACTGTACATGAACGTTGTAAAACAGATATATGAATTGCTGGGATATTTGTGAGATTAACGATTTAGCAAAAAGAAAAAAAAATAATGATCCGCATTTCTATCTGTGACTGACTGCTCAAATTCAGCAAAACTACCACTTTTTGAAAAGAAGGGTTACAAGCAATGAAAAATAGATTATTTGCAACAATGTGGAGTGAAAAAGGTTCTAGGGTAAACAAAATGACTGTTAATCACTTCAAAAGCTGATCTTCATCCGAAGATACTGCTGTGTATCTGGTGGGATTGGAAAGGCATTGTGTGTTTCAAGCTCCTTCTGCAAATTTAAATAAGTAATGTTCCCAAATGGACTAATTAAAAGACAGCACTCGATGTAAAATGTCCGAAATTGGTCAAATGGGAAAGTATCATCTTCTACCAGGTAAAGACCCGGCCTCATTTCTTTGCAGATCTGACAGAAATTTATACAGCTGATTGGGATGTTCTACTGCACTCGCCGAAATCACTTGACATTATTATCACCTATTTCGATCCATACAAAATTGTCTTAACGGGAAGAATACGCTGAAAGCCTGTAAAAACCACTTCGATCAGTTCATCACCCAGAACGATGCCAAGTTCTGAGAGGATGGAATCATGAAAGTGCCTCAAAGATGGCGAAAGGCAGTGGGACAAAATAGCACATACGTGGTCGAATAGATCTGGGTAAAATATCTAAATATTGTCTTTAAAAATCATTTAAAACTGTTACGTACCTACAATATATTGTAAGTAAAAAATTTACATTGTTGTCATCTTTATTGCCATATTCACGATATTTTGATCATTGTACGATCAGGCTTTCTTTAGGTGATTGGAATTTCGAACTGAACCTTTTATTTCGTCCACCGGGGTAGACTGTTCTAGTTCCACATGCTATGCCTCTTCCGGATGTTTCAGTTATCTCCCTTTAACTCAACTCTCCAAGTTTTGTCCACCACTGCAGGTGCTGAACTCACAACCCTTTGGGTCAAATCACTGGATCCAACCAACGCTTTTATTCACTGGGCCATGTGACCTTGATGACGAAATAAAGGGTTCAGTTTGAAATTCCAATCACTTGAAGAAAGTGAAAGCGTACAACGGATGAAACGTCACGAATATGGCAATAAAATTGACGATAATAATCCGGACAATGTAAATAATTACAATACCTCATCTCAGAAATATAGACAGAGTTTGAAAAAAAAAAAAAAAAAAAAAAAAAGAAAATAAACACTGTCGGAGTTAGATATTTGATCAATGAACTAAGAAACAATTATATTAACTGAAAAAGAAGAATGTTAAACATTTACTACTTACATTAATTTTAGTTTTCGTCTTCCCCCGGTGAGTCGGTACACATACTTGAGATTCATGTCCCGAGCAACCGCCACATTTCATTACTCGAGTACAAGATGGCCAAAAGAGATCGTTACGTTCTTTTGGTTGTTCAATAACTACTGTTGTCTTGCGTGGAGAACAGTTATCTGGAGCAGCCATTTTGCTCGCTGGAAAGAAAGGAATCCGTTAATATATCATCAGTTAGTTTCAGCACTGCTTCTGTTAGCCCCTTTTGAATTAAAATTTTATACAATAAGAAATTGCTTTTATGTACGTTTGAATGCTATATTTAAACTAAAAATAACGATAATTTCTAGTAGACTTTTTTCATATATAAAACAGTAACAAAATTTATCAACCCATAAATTACATCAGCGTTGAGGTAATAGATTTTTGATTTCATTTTAATCGTAAAATTTGAACCAATACAACTTTAATGCCAATGTACAAAAAATAACCTAATCTGATTAAAAATGAAGTTTTTAGACTCATTAAGTATGCATAGGAGGCACAGTAGAGTGATGGATTGTTTCTCGGATTGAGGAATCGGAAAGCAGAGTTCGAATTACATTCACTTATATGCTAATATCTTCGAGAAAGGTACGAATCTAACTCTTCTCCCCCAGCTATGGATAAATAGGACGACAGACTGGATTTTATTGCTTTGGATGGATGGCAACCAGTCTGCCGCAGTAAGAAACAGCAACCTGCTCCGGGAAAATCTTCTGCCTCGTCAGTCATGACTCGAAAGAGACATGATCCCCCAAGCGTGTATCACGCCTGACTGAAGTATGCATTTAATATAAATTTGACAATTTATCTGATAGTTCTATTAATTATTCTAGTAATAGTACTAGACACAAATGAACTAAACACAAACGTTTCTGTTATGCGACTCTTATGTATTAAAAAATTATGGACCAAGTTTGAAAGCTAAACTATATTTGACCTTCGTGCCTGCAAAAAAAAAAACAAAAAAAAAAAAAAAAAACAAAAAACAAAAAAAAAAAAAAAAAAAAAAAGCTGTCAAAAAGGACGGTTATTCCCTTGACTCCGTTACTACAGTTTTTTTCACTTCTTCGTAAATATTTTTAGATCAAGTACAATGCGACATTGATTATTTACCTTTCATAAAGATTTATATTTTATCATTTTATAAAAAGAAACAAATTTGAAAATATCTTTTTTAATCATTTCACCCCTAGAAAGGCGGCAATGCTACTGATACGCAGGGGTTTACAGAGAGTGAAGGTGATATAAAAGTCTGGGTAGATGGGGAACCGAGGAAAAGATAAAAGCTGAAAGTGGGTTCAAAAAGATAGATGGCGATTGATGTTGCATTTAAATTTTTAACCAAAGAAATGGAATAGAGGTTTCACAGGCGGGAAGTACGAGAAAAGAAACTGTTGAAGTAGAAGTGGCGGTTACATTTAACTAATTAAACATTAAAAGGGTAGGACCTAGCTGCCAATCTAGTAGCACCCTTAAACTCACAAAGTTTGGGCACTAGGAAAAAAAAGCTTGTCAGAGCAGTTGCTATGGAAATATTGGTAGAAAAGTCAGAGGGAAGACGTCGATGAGAAAGTGACTGAAGTCAAGATGCCAAGTCAGGATCGATTACATTGCAGATCCTTCTTTTCATTTTGTCAAGAACCTCGAGATGAGTATCAGGAGCACCTGACCAGATATAGCAAAAGTATACAATGCACAGCCGAATGGTAGATTTGTAAATTTCCAAGATAAACTGATGAGAAACACCTTCTGACACGACACAGTAACCGTACTTTCCTTGCAGTAGATGCAGCTAATGATTCGATGTAGTAGTTCCAATTCAAATCAGTTGAAAACAATGTCAAGAAGGCGTATTGTGTTGCTCTCCACGAGTCTAGTATCAGCCATGTTGATGGCGGCAGGAAAGTTTCTCTATGGTGGTTAAATGAGAGCAGTTTCATTTTGGAGGTATTAAAATTTACGATCCATTTAACTTCAGATTGGATGTCCTTTTCAAGCGGCCAGGTTAGCTTTCTCAGCTCTGACGGATTTACTATCGAGATAGGAGTAAATGGTAATGTTAAATGCCTACTTGGGAACTGATGAAGATCATTGATGACGATCAGAAACAGCGTAGAACCCAGGATAGAGCCTTCGTGTGGAAACGAGCCCGTACAAAACGACCTTCATTTCACGATTTGATAGGAATGATTAGATTAAATCAAACAATCGTTCAGTAATACCGTAGCCCTGGAGGTTACGTAAAAGACCTCCGTGCCAAAGCCTGTCAAGCGCATTCGAGATATCTAGAGCCATAACTAGAGTTTCGCCGTTATTATCAAGAGCTTGATATACATATTCAGTGATGGCCATTAGCACATCAGCAGTAGACCTGGCAAAACGGAAGTCATATTGTTTGTCAGAGACTTTGCCGATAAGTGGTATGAAATCACAGGGGTCAGAGTTCTTAAAAACGGACTACAAAGGAGGACTTTCAACAAGCAGGAAGCAATTGCTGTAGAGGATTGGATCCAGCTCGGGAGCACATTTCTTTAGGACGATGTCTGGGATCCAGTCAACTCCGCTTGCCTTATGGGAGTCTTAGAAATGTTGTCAGAGACCAGTGACGGGGTTATGCACATATCACTCAGTAGAACAACCTTTCTATTGGGGAAAATCAGGTATGTGTACTCCAATAGAGTCAGTCGAGTGTTGGAAGAGAATTTCCAAACAAAGCATTCAACATAATCAGCTGTAGATGTCAGGAAAATTATAAAATTATCAAAATATATATGCCAACGACAATGCACACTCAAAATATTGAGTGTTTGTGGTCTCGCCTAAAATCTAAAATTAAAAGGATGTTTGATTCAGTGAAAGAGAAGCGCTCAACCTATTTTACTTAATTTAGGTGGCGAGAACAACTGAAAAAAAAAAAAAAAAAAGCCCAGAAAATTCATTTTTTTTTCAAAATTTATACTAGTACTAGTCGTTATCTCTTTGAATTTTCTTGTTCAAAGACAATTTTTATAAATAAAAAATTATTTTCATATTTCTTTGTAAAATGGTAAATATAGTATTTCATACTAGTAGGTTCGCGTATTTCTATAATCTTGTAAAATGTAAATAGAAAATTATTCTTGTAAATAAGCAATCTAATAGTGTTAGTTTAATATTTTTGTTCTCAATTTTCAAGAATAAAGAAAATATATAAATCCACTTTCATATGTTTAGGTTTTATTAAAACTAAAAGCTTTTTAAAACAAACAGCCGCGGGAGTGAAAAGAAAAAGAAAACAAAACAAAAAGGTGTAATAGCGGCGTCATGGAAGTAACCGCCTTTTTCATATACCATTTTTTCGGACACGAAGGTTAAACATTGCCGAAAATTAATTGTCACTTAATAGTAGATATTTTAAAACAAAGCTTACAGATGGTGGCGGATGCGCTACCAAGGATATGAAGAAGAAAAAAAATGCATTAATGCTGTGTTATATAATGATATACGACTGACCCTTGTCAAAATAGTGAAACAGCTTTTGATTTTTACTGCTGCTTGGACAGATTGGCTTTCCCCAAGTGCTTACTCGCTAACCCTTCATCAATCATGATATATTAACGATTAAACATTTTGTCACAAAATCTAGCGACAGGATAAGTAGATTCATGCCCTTTCCAACTAGACAGCAAAAAGTTCACGCTCTTTCCCCGTTTGTATTGATAACCATAAAATTAATAAAACTGAACTTCTGCTTTATTATTTTTTTTACAACGCATTGAATTTATTATTATATTTATTATTATTTATTTATATTATATTTTAGGGGCTAAATTTATTATATTTATTATTATTTATTATTTTTACAACGCGTTAAATTATACGACAATTTGGGTTATTTACTGGTCAGCGCTTTAAAAATGTCTTAAGAATGGTGTGCTTAAATATAAATGCGTATTTTCGTGAAGGCTTGTACAAAAAAATAATCCAGGAAACAGTTTGGAAAATATTTTTAAATTCCAAGTTCAAGCAAACATTAAGTTCTTTAATAATGTCATTTTTGAACTTCCAAACCGGAATCAATAATATCGGTAAGTAAGAAGCTAATAGAAATAGTAATCGAAAACTTTTTATTCGTGTGCACCAAATGTTTTCCGAAATTTTCGTTGCACAAAAAGAGATGTTTTCTGTCAGGTCTAGTCGTCCTACGCTCATCCATGTATGGTTTGAATGTAAGATGTGTAGTTTGTGTTATAGAGTCTCTAGATTAGGTTATTATGAAAATGTTTTCTTATAAATAGCCCGATAATTTCGACAGAATGTTGATGCCATGAAGCTACAGTTCAACTTAAAAAAAATTTCTAGCGTTTTTCGAATTTGCACAGGAGCATCACCACATGAACATTCTGTCGAAATTAGAAGTGGATTATGTCCGACGCACAACATAACAAAACATGTAAACAACAACCAAGTCCACCTTAGCACGTACACATTTGATATATATATATCATAAAAATATAGTTTTAAAGGCATGCTATGTTTATGAGAAAAAGTCCTCAATACCAGGGATTGAGCGTACATAAATATAAAAGTGGACATGTAGTCAACACTGAGCGGTGACAGTTTGCTTCATGCTTGAACGCAATTTTTAAGCCATGTGTGTTGGTTTGACAATATAATTAAATAATTAATAATAAAGAGTAAACAGTTAACAAACAACACTATACAATAGATATAAATAACCGCATTCGGATCCACAATTATCTTTACTCAATAGCCTCTTGGATCATTTGAAATATAACTGTTGCAACCTACACAATAACTTTTAGGATAATGTAATAAACCTCGATACCCATAATGCACTATTGAGGATCATATATAAATAGTCGCGCCAACACAGATAGCCTGAAGATTGTGTTCAAGCTTAAGAGACTATTACCGCTCGATGTTGACCGACACACAATCTTATTTTTTATATATATGTATAGATACTGATAAATCTTTTATATTCAAAACCATATACTCTTAGAATTATTGATCATCTACTTTGCTTACCAGTGTAATTGAAGAATAAAAAATATAGAAACTATGCATTGTAAACTTGAAATTCCAAATCCCGTTCATTATTTTGCTACTGAAAATCTAGAGCGATTGGAAAGAAAGAGAGAAAAATCACCATTAGCAATGACCGATTCGAACTAAAATGACATTAGTTGTGACACCGACTGGATATTCCCCATTTTTGTAGTAGCAGTAGTAGTGGTGGCGGTGGTGAATTTTTTTTGGAGTTAGACGTCACATTCTTCTTGTGGTTCCCTTTTCAGGTTTCCTCAATTTTATCCCTTATTTTGAATTGATAATGTGGTAATTATAATTTGTTTGAATATACAAATTACGCTTGTAATTTTCTTTTGTAAAAAGAAGAAAAAAAACTGGTATTCTCGAATTATGTTCTGCAATCCATGTTCTCCAAACGTCAATAATTGCATAGGATTAAACGAGATTGAGCCTGAACTAAAAGTAATTTATTTTAGGGAATTATTTGTTTCTTGATCGCCCTTATATTACATACACGTATATTTTGTTTCATTCACTTTCTCACACACACACACGTGTGTGTGTGTATACATGAAAACTTTAAACGTTAATTTTAGTGGATACTCGTATTTCAGTAGATGCTCCCTTTATTTTTTAAACAGTATATTTATTTGTTTGTTTATTTTCGTCTTCCAGCCTGAATATTCGAGAAATTTTATTAAAAGTCACTATTCAGCCTTGCCTGATCGGTTAAGTTCTTTTAAAATCAGTCGGTCTAGAGCAGGTTCGATATAACGACAGTTTCCTCTACCCAGGAGGACACAGGTTCAAATTCTGCTGGAGAGCACATACTTTGTAGCACTAGCGAAACATCACTGAAATAACGACCTTCTATTTTATAGTCTTATTTATATAACTATAATCCTCACTTTTCAGCCTTGACAGAGTTCCTAAACGTTTGCGTAGCCTTGTGGGTGATTCATTTTTTTCTAATCTTTTACCCCTTCCCCCCACAGATGAAAAGTTGCTAGCCTCTCGCTACTCTACCGCTATTTTCATTCCAAATATTCAACCGAACTACATCCTTTGATTCCACCAGTTCAGACCTTCACAATTAAGATCTGCTATGCCACGTACACTGGGCCGAATCTTCATCGTTCCCTTCATGTTCCATTGGTAAGGAGGAAGTTCAGCTCAGGTTCTCTGCCTAGAATTGTTGCAATGTGGAATGAACTCACACTCCCGAGAGTATACTTCCCAAACCACTACAATCTTAATTTCTACAAGTAGTCAACCGTTATTTTTCCTACAGATCCTCATAATATGCAACCCTTACTCTTTCGCTATACGTCATTACATCATCCCTACTCAGTAAACATTTACTTTGAGGGGCCTTGTATTGGACAAACAAAAGCAACAAACGTAACTAGTTATTTTTTTCTCATTTGCAATAAGAAAAGATTTTGGTATCTTATCGTAACATGAAAGTTAAAAGACAGGGTTAATATAAGAATTAAATAGATCATTTAGTTCACATACTGGAAGGAAAACAGGACATATCGTTTGAGAAATTTTAGAAAGTTTCCAGCTTTGTCCGGAAAAATAGCTTTTGACAGTTACAAAATGAAAATAGGGAAAGTGAAAGTTTAGGTATTTTCAAGTTTACAGAAATTACTTCAGCAATTTCATAATTTAACCGCCCAACAAAGATTTTGCTATTTGGGATAACAATAGTTTATATTAATTACATTGGACACACACAAAACTAACTTTACCTGCCCCTCAGATAAATTATGCTGTACTCAAATTGAGGATGCAAATTCCGAATCTGTACACACAACAACTCTAAAACGTATCATTTGAGATGTGTTCATGGCAATTAAATTCGCAAATTGCACATTTCTCAAGGCAAATTTAAATGACAATGAAAAATAACCGAATAAAATATTCACTTTATTTTTTTTTTATATCTTCAGAAATGTTTAAAGCATTTGCTTCTAGTCATTGAACTAGTCTCAATGTAGTAGGTACCAGCAGTATTCACCGTTCATGTTTGGATTAAACCGGACTTGACACCTTGATCCATCTCATATGTTCTGATGAAACTTCTTCATTTACGGCACTTGAATCCGTCGATCCAATTTTGTTTGATAGGCTGTTAGCATATTTATTAAATCAACAGTTTTCAGTTCTACAAGATCCAAGAGATGAATTCCATGTCTATGTCAGGTGGATGAACAGGTTATCAAACACAGATGCTCATCATATATGCTTATGCACATATCAAATCTAAAGTTAAGACAATTCTAAGCATACATTCGAAATCAGCGTACTCAATTTACTCTGATATAGCCTTATTTGCATGGGTAGCAGACTTTTTTTTTTACCCAGTGTCATCACGGTTGCTTTGAAGGCACTAAGTTACAAGGAAATACTATTTTTTCAAAAAATTCATTTTTTTTTTCGACAATAAAACGTAACACACACAAGTTTGCTAAACCAAAAATAGTGTGTGTGTGTATATATATATATATATATATATATATATATATATATATATATATATATCTAAGTTGATAAACCCCTACGGTTAAATGGAAAATAATAATAAAAAAAAGAACTTGTAAATCTTTAAATGAAACATTTACATGAAAATTGAGAAATTATCAAATTTGCTGACAAAAAATCCCTATTAAACCAAAGGAGTGAATTAATTGTAAATTGTCGACACGGTTTATCTTCTACCTTAAAATATAATTGAATTTTAAAAATTACATATTACCATTTTTTTTATAGCCATAATTTATTAATATATAAATTGTCCACAGTCTACGAGTAATTACCTTATTTTGTATATTCAGCTTTAATTTTGCTATGTATTGCCGTCAAGTATTATTAATATCTTATATAGATGTTCCACATTTTTTGAATTTTATCTACAGGCCCCTTTAATTTTTTTTTCTGTTAACTTTACGTCTGATTATCCTACCCTTCTTTTCAAAAATTGAACATATCATATTTGTCTACAATCACGATACATTTGTCGCAATTGTCACTGACGGACTCCAGTTTATCATGACATGAAAAAAAAAAAAAAATTCCCCACCTCCAACCTCTGAGCTTACTTTTCCATTTAGAACAGACCTGACATTTAACTGGTTAATCAAGACATACCCACAAGTCTATTTTTATTTCTGACCTTACGTCTCTACCCCCACCTTTAACTTTCGGAAAAGAGATAGCACTTTGTTTTTAAATTTTCTTAAAAAGCTTTATCATCACATACTTACCACCGTCTGAAGAAGTACAATCATAGTATTGAAACATGAAAGCTTTTGTGTAGCGATTTCAAGATATTTTAATAATAATTTTATATATATATATATATATATATATATATATATATATATATATATATATAATCTCACACGCACACTTCAAGGTACTGGCAACTCGGACAGTCGCCCGACGCGCCATCAAGCCGCCATGTCATGTATTTGGGATCTTCTAAAACTCAAGCTTATAATGACTCAATACAGATTAAATTCTTTGGCTATTTGGTCAATAGAAAATGATCTTGTAAAGACAGATGTAGAAAGAGCCAAGAAAACATTTGCAGATCTAAAGGCTAGAAAAAAAGGTTTTAGGTAGGATAATGAATGTTTTCTTTAGCTTGTATTAAGTTGTATACTGTAATAAACTCGTTATTCTACATTTTCAGTTTTTCTCCATGTGAAAAAAAAAAAAAAAAAAAAAAAAAAAAATGTACTTGTAAGGGAGCCAAAGTTCAGCTTGCTCAGGGTAAACAGCAACCCCAGGACCGTCACTGTGCGTATATGTGTATAAAAATAAATAAAATAAAGCTACAGTTAACAATAACAAAGTGAGGAACTGTTTACACTTTTATATTTGCGGATTGTTTTACAGATTTACACTTTCTTTTTATTAGATTTGATATCTGCCGAATTATTTTGTTGCAAACTGACCTATACCCCTCTACCCACCCCAAATTCTCATAACAATGGTGATAATTAGAAACGCTAAATTAAGCGATTTAAAAATAAACAAGAGATACTTACGGGTACTTGCAAATACACTGTCATTTTCTGAAAGTAAATAAACTTCCGATTAACATAAATTTTAAATAAAATATTTAATGTTTGTTTTTTTTAATTTGATTGTTTCTTGTTAAATTATATATTGTACATCATATTACTGCCTGAATGTTTTTAAAGCATTTCTATCCAATCTTGTAGGTTTTCTAAGCCATTGTTTATTTTGTTCGACCTTTACTTCAGAAAGTAAAGGATCAAACATCGCGTAGAGTACTAAAATGCTTAAAAGGGCTGCAAAAAAAACTTCTCGATAAAAAAAAAAAAAAAAAAGATATTTTGTTAGGATTTTGTTAAACTGGTCAGGATGAGAACTTTTCAGTGCCCCTTTGTACATTTCCAATTGTTTCAGTTTTCTACGAGCATATAACTGAAAGTGCTGGGTTTAAAATCTTATTTAAACAAATCAAAATGCTTACATTTTAAATTCACAATAAACCAAAGCTTTATTTCCTCTGAAGTTAAAGAAACAAAACTACAGTTACATCAATAAGTCTGTAACTTACTAATAAAAAAAAGTAAGTATTAGGTTCTCTTTTTAATCTTTATCAATTCAGTGATGAATATTATTAACCACAGACTTATTGATAGATTCTTTATATATAAGAAAAATGCCTACTTACTTGTCCCAGTTATAAAACCCATGGCTTCTTGGTAGGTTTTCTTGCTGAAAAGTTCCTTTGCTAAATCGATAGGAATTTCGGAAACCTGAAAAACAAGCAGAGATGACAAAATTAAGACCAAATTTTAATTTTTAGTGAGCAGATATTATATGAAATAATTAGCACGACCTAAATTTAATTTAGGAAATATATATTTACTATAGGGGGGCTGCAAAGTTCTCAAAACACAAAGAATTCTGATTTTTGGGTTATCAGATTTTGGGAAGTGGGTCAGGTCAATATTTTTCAACATCTCGTATGTTATTATAGTTAAGGAATTAACATTATACCAAAACAAAATATAAAGTGATAAAAATTTATGCTAAATATATATTTTTAATTTCTAACGACAATGACACAGTCTTTTCTTTTTTTTAGTTAAAATATTTTCGAAATTGTTCTTCAATCTTCATTGACCTTCTCTAAATATAAAGTTACTTTAATCTGAGCCTTCAAGTTTTTTAAATAATAACGAACCCTTTATAAATAATCAATAAACGTAAAACTTGGAAAAGTGAATATTTTACTAGTGTTTACCATTTACAGGTATTAACAATCTGATAGTTTTCAGAAATTGAAAATAACTTGAAGCCTTAAGTTAGCTGGGAACTTAATGATATTTGAAATATTTAGAAACTAAGATGGATTGTACAGATAGCCTCTTTAAGCCAAAACCTTTCACATGACCCAGTAGATTGTTAGAATTGAATTAATGCAATAAGTCTATCAAATAGATAGTTCTTTTGTGTTTATTCCTACAAATGTGAAATTGTTGTTTCTACTCATTTACGTTCACAGGGTAAAGCTCAAAAGACGGTGTTTAAAATTCTCTTGTCAGCTCTTCTAGATTAGACTACAAAGCAGAAAAATTAACTCTTAACAAAAGGACATGGCACATAGAAGATACTAACTGAAGTAAAATCGTATACTACGGTGACAACCAATTATTTAGAGCCATATCAACACCAAATATTTTAATCTTTGTTCTTTTAATGAATTATTCAGACGATTTTATTGATATTTTACTAAATATGAGCTAATGATACTTTTCGACTACAGACTGCCTTACCTCAGCTTGTTAAATCCGAGGAAATATTGAAGCTGTTTGTTAGGTGAAAAGAAATAAAACCAGGCGAAAATTGTCCGTTTGAACCTTAGTTTTATTTACGTTTTTTGTTAAGTATGGTAAAACAAAAATAAAAGTGTAACATCATAAGTGTAACAATAATAGTTACTTCAAATGGTACATATTGCTAAGCATAAGAAAACAACTGTTAAAAATAATAACCACTAAAGTATTCGTCCAAGATGTGTATCGCCAAAATGGATGCATTTTTCCGAAACGAAAACAAAAAGAAACGAGGGGACACACACACTAATTCCCGCTTTTAAAATTTTACCCCTCGCCCCCCCCACCCAAATGGGAATAATCCGGTTTTAATTAAATTTTCAGCACATTTTCATTAATGAATGAATTTAGGTACCTTAAAAAATGTTTAAAATGCATTAAAAAGAAAAAAGTCTTTCTTGAAGCTTTAATTTTATTTCCTAGCTAATAAATTAAAATGTAATATTCCCAATAAATAAAATACTTCAGTTCAGTGCATTTCAAACAGAATTTAAACTGATTAGAATTGTTTTCCTCATCAGTAAAATCTATAAATTCGTTCATATTGACAGATCTCTCAACACAACATAATTCTCATTAAAAAAAAATCTTTAAAAATGAAATACTTTTCTAAAAACGTTATTTGAGAAAAAATGTTTTAAAGTTTAATTTGAACTGAAACAAATATTACTTACTTTTATTTTAAATATCACAAAAAAGCGTCATTAAGGCGAGGAGAGTGTTTTTTTTACGCGTTGAGCGATTTATTGACAGCCTGATGTTTGGGAAATTTAAATAAAGAGGACATGATTGAAAATTACATGACGAACACAACGTGAAGGCCTTATAGCTACCCAGTAATCTTTAATAAATAAAATTTTCTAAGCCTTCTCTAATAGTTTATTTAAATTTTAGCTACTTTGGCTTACTTACGAAGACGCTGGTTGAAGAAATGTTAGAACCAATAAGTTTTAAATTTACTATAGTTATCGCTTTTATTTTCTTATAATGTCGTTTATGGATGTCCGTATTTACAAAAATCGACACGTTTATATACACGCACGCACACAAATTCAAAATTCTTCTTAAAATAATGGGGGTGGGAGTCGTTGAATTGTAGTGAGCTTTTCCATTTATGATTAGTAAATGCAGTTTTAACCGCTACAAATTAATATATAATTTTAAAAGATTTACAAGTTTATGAATTATTCTAATTAAAATAAAAAAGAAAACAACCCTTGTAAAAATTTATTATTCATTGGACAAATTTTTTGCCCATAATATATTTTATTGATAAAAGCATTTAAAAGCTTTTCTAATGAAATAATGTCTTAGTTTTATATTCATTTTCTTTTTGAATTTCACAATTTAGCGCAGATTTTCTCTAATTGGTGGTCTTGTTTCACCAAAAACATTACATGATTTAACTTAACTGACTTGTCCTTATAACATTAAGCGATACAAAAAAAAAAAAAAAAAAAAAAATAAATAAAAAAGAAAACGATTACAATATATGACATATTTGATAATATTCAATAATTTTGTAACGAGTTTCATTAAAATCCGACAATTATCTGAATTATGCAAGAATTTCTAAATCAATATTTTTCACAGCGAAAAGACGCTCAAATTTCCCGTACAAATTCAAGGTCTCGCACTGACACCAGAAAAAAAAAAAAAAAAATTTTAACTGAAATTTTCATTGTCCTAAGAAGGAAAAAAAATGCATAAAAATTCCATTGATCTTTCTTAATAAAGATTTTGACTATAAAATTGTTTTTTTTTTAATGTTTTGGGCTATTCTTTTTTCATCATGTATCCTTGTCGGTACCTAAATGAATTGTACACTGAATAGGTTATTTTATTAGAAAACGTGGTAGAATTTTTTTTTTTAGGGAGGAAGCGGCAGTTACTCATTCATTTCGATACAACGTGAATATCTTAAAATTGTTGATGACAATTTTCTAAAGATATATCCATGAAGATATTATTTCAGTAAAAAAAAAAAAAAAAAAAAAGTTTGCAATATCAGAAAATCTTGAAATTTTGTCATGAAACTTTACAAAAAAGAGACTCAAAGAATATTTTTAGTTGAGAGCGCTTGTATAATCAAACAAGATTGTTCTTTCAGATTTGACAGAGGAAAATCTACAAAGAATATTTACTTTTGAAAAAATTACTCGCAATTTTTCAGTATGATTTTGAAATTTTTCTATTTGCTGATGACAAACATTTTTTTAAAGATATGTTTGGAGAATCGAAAAATGTAAGATTTGATACCATTTTCCTTTTAAAAAGAATTTTATTATTTTCATATTTTTAAATTATGTTTTTTTTTTGCATGGAATATCATATAGGAAATATTTTTTTATATTCCTATTAATATATAAATTTCAGAAAAGCATATAACTTATATGAAAGGTTAAAAAAACAAAACAAAAAACAATTAACTTTTTAAACATAAACAAGACCAGTTCCTGTATTTTGGTAGTTTTGTGCATCCGTATTTAATTCAAGGGTGGTGGTTTAAAAATGGTGACTGTGAGAGCCGATTCCTACTTTTTCACCATTGAATTTGGCTACTATTTTTTTTTAAACAGTAGTCACAAATTAAAAGTAATATTATCCCCTTGATCCTTAAATATACTAATTTTCTTTGAAACAAATCTCTAGGACAGATATTTGATTTTTAAATTTTCTGTCGTTTTTCAATTAAAATAGCAGATAGATGATAAAATTGAACGTAAGAACCTCGTAAAGATTTATTAAAGTTTTACTGATATGTGTAAAATTGTTTTTCCTTTTTTTTTTTTTATAGATCAACTTTAGGCTATTATCTTTCAATATAAAACCAAACTTTTACTAAAAAGTAGACATTTATTTTAAAGTTTTTTTTTTACCTTATATTTTGGTGGTATTTACTCAACGATATTTCTTTTTGTCTTAATTTCTGGATGAGAAGTTATCATTTACATGCAGACCATTGTCCTCATCTTTAAATTAAAGGATTCAATTCGAAATCCCCTGAAAGTTACTTGGATCGACAAGCATCCGATGAAGGCCGGAGGAAACAACAGCCAAAACTTTGTGATAACAACAACAAAGACGAGCTCAATAGTCCTAATGTAAATAACTTTAATTATTGTTTCAATGTATACTTTAGTTTAAATATATAAAGTTCCCAAAAATAAACGTTGCAATGTATACATCAGTGATACTGAATTGTACACACGTATTTGAAATTGAAAGTTATCGACTCAAATACTATTAAAAACAGCATTAACATTTTATTATTTTATGCATGCTTTTCGAAGAGAAATACTCAAAGCATTATCACATCATGCGAAACTTTTAAACAAAAACTGCTTGGATCTTTTCTGTTAATCCACTCCAAATAATGTAAAATTCAGTCAGTTATGTGCCATGCATGATACACGCTTAGGCAATCATGTATCTTCAGATACATGACTGACGAGGCAGATTTTTTCCCGCAGTAGGTTGCCATTTCTTTCTGCGAGAGGCCAGTTGCCATCCAAGGCAATAGAACCCGGTCTGTCCTATTTACCCATAGCTGGTGGGGTGGGGGCGGGGTAAGAAGAAAAGGATTCATACCTTTTCCAAGTAAGTGAATGTAATGGATTCGACTGGGATTCGAACTCGGCTCTCTGATTTCTCAATCCGATCCGCTATCCATTACTCAACCGTAATGTAAAATTACTTATCGCAAATATTAATTCACCCCAAGAAATAAATTTTAAAATCAAAATTTGTTTTTTTAATTAAATTTTTGGCACTTTTTGAAATGATAAATAAATCAAAATTTGTTTAACTTGCCTCGCAACAAGTCCAATTCTCAGAATGAAAAGTTATCAAAAATCAGTGAGTTATTCACATTTCCTAAATGCAGATGATATTCGAGGTACTGACAAGGAATTTAA